ACACACACACACACACACACACACACACACACACACACGGTGTCTTCCCACACAATTGTCACCTCCCTCAGATGTCTCCTCCACACGCAGTGTCTCCTCACACAGATTCCAAATGTAGACATCTCTTTGTGAAAGCGTGCCCTCCAGTAGCCTCTCTTCACAGCGTTTTGCCGCGAAGGCTGTCCCAAGAGCACCTACACACACACACACACACACACACACACACACACACACACACACCTCCAATGAGGACTTCTCATGTCTCTTTGCACAGAATCCCTCACTCTCCTCAGCACCATGTGTCCACCAGAGGTGTCTGCCATTCCCTCACGTGAAGCCACGTCCTGTCCTCTTCCACCTCCAGGTCCCGGGCTGTAAACAGTTACAGGAGGAGACGGCCTGCCCTTCTCCCGTGGAGCAGCTGATGGTTGGAGCTGCCAGCATCTCCACGAGCAGCCAGCATGTCACACGCTCTGTCACCGCCAGGCTCCTCCACAGTGTCGCTGCCAGATGCCATCGAGTCGCCTGTGACTCTCAGTGACCCAGTGGACGGCAGAGAGGACGGGACCGGCCCTGTGCCATGCTCACCACCCCCGCCATGCTCAAGCCCATCGCAAGTCGCATGTCCGTCCATCTGTTGGACGACTTCCCCTTTCCCTGACCTTCCACCTTTCCCAGCTTCACGTCTTTCTCAAGCATGGCTTCTCCTGACAACACCCTTGAAGTAAGTAATGCAATGTTCCAGCCTCCTTGCCTTTAAGAGGCATTCTAGCAATGTTGTCGTTGTTCACTATGGAGCCAGAACCATCTCAGAGCTGACCCGGCAGCAGGTTTTCAGGTGCAGTAAATTGAATGGGAGGAGATTGTCCATCCCTCTGCCAGAGCAGCTGGTGGATTCGAACCACATGCCAGTGGGGTTGCAGTGCAGCTTCTTACCACTAGGCCACTGGAGTTCCATATTAGAGCTGACAAAGTACAGAGAATTAATATTCCTAAAACTCCTCAAGCTGGCATAGAGACAAAGGCTACTGAAGTCTAGCAAATGTTGGGCTGGAGAGGACCTATGTGGTCATTGCGTGATTCCTCACAGGCCGGGGCCACTTCCTCTGCTCCTGCTAAGATTCCAGGGATTGTTTTAAAGACCAAGCATCGACAGGTCAAGGAAGGCACCTTCTCAAGCCCACTGTGGTTTGTCTTGCTCCAGGTAATATTCTCCTCTACCTAAAAGGGATTGAAGTGTGCACACCTGAGTGCATGTGTGTGACTATCTGCATGTGTGTGTCTGTGGGCATTTGTGTGTGTGTGCACGGGTGTGGGTGCATGTGTGCAGCTGTGTGTGTGTCGTTGTGTAAGTGAGTACATGCTGGCAGGTATGTGCATATGTGTGTGTGCATAAATGTGTGTACATGTGCAGGTGTGTGTATGCCTGGTGGACGTGTGCACAGGTGTTGTGTGCATGTGTGTGCATGCATGTGGCAGTGTGTGTATGTGTGGTGGACATGTGCAAAGGTGTGTGCATGTGCTGGTGTGTGTATGTGTGGTGGACATGTGCCCAGGTGTTGTGTGCAGGGGTGTGTGTGTCTGTGTGTGTGTGTGTGCATGTGCATGCATGTGCCTGGGTGTGTGCATGGTGGATGTGTACACAGGTGTGTTCAGGTGCCGATGTGTGTATGTGTGGTGGGCATGTGCAAAGGTGTGTGCATGTGCTGGTGTGTGCATGTGTGGTGGACATGTGCACAGGTGTTGTGTGCAGGGGTGTGTGTGTCTGTGTGTGTGTGTGCATGTGCATGCATGTGCCTGGGTGTGTGCATGGTGGATGTGTACACAGGTGTGTTCAGGTGCTGATGTGTGTATGTGTGGTGGACGTGCCCGCAGGTGTGCACGTGTGTACCTGCAGCTGCTTGTGTGCACGAGGCTATTCTCTGGTCTAAACATGACCTGACCGAAGCAAGGAATCTTACCTTGCACCTGCTTCCTGTTTTGTGGCTTACAAAGCCCTTTCACACACATTGTTTTGTGACCATCTAATGCAGCAATGCCTGCAGGATTGCACTCAGAAAACCTCTGGACACGAGCTGGTGACTGCACTTGGCTCCCAGGCCCTGCTGTAGATCCACTCGTGTCCTCAATAAAGCTGTGAAGGCCACCTCCTGTGAGGCATGGTCTCTGACGATGTGGATTCACGTGAGGTTGTGCAGGGGCCGGTGTCGTTAGGTGTGTCACGTGGCCCTGTCACGGTTACCATGTGCACCATAGGAGCGGGCATGGCCAGGCCTGCACCATGGATGTGGCCTTGGGGGGTCCTGATCTCTTATGACCAGTGTCCTTGTGAAAGAGCATAGGACAGTGGAGACCACCATGGAGACAGATGGGGGGCGGTGATGTGGCCACCAGTTGTGCAGGCCTGGAGTCCACAGCAGCTGGACAATACAGGCACTCCATCCCCAAAGCTTGAAGGAAGTGTGGCAATGCCTCTAAGAGGATGCATTTCTGTAGTTTCAAACCTCCTGAGCCCTCACCTGGGCAGCACTTTTTCTGAGCCAGGAATTCCTCCAGACTCCATGGACGGACGCTGACCTGAAGTCAAGAGCTTTGTCTCTGCCCGATGGAGCCCGTGCTGCCTGGCGTCTTGGTGCAGCACCTGGGAGAGCGGGTTATTACATTTGGCTGAGTGTTGTGTGTGACTCACGTTTCGGATGCAGCCAGCGGCGAATGGGGAATTAACCTTTGGAGCATCGGCCGGTTTGACAGCCCATATGCTGGCCGGGAAGTGAGTATCAGGATTTCAAATCTGCTTTGCTCTTCGTGTTAACAGCAGAAATTATATCAGAAGCGCATGATTCTGCTGGAGGGGTGGGACCGGGGTTTGGGATGCTGGCGGGGATTTTAGCTCCTGGTGAACTCTGTTCAAGGTCTCCAGCGAAATCTGGAAAATTCCACAGGTGCGTGTGGTGTGTGTGGAGAGGCTAGAAACCAGCATTTCAGGTGAACGGCACAAGCCACCTCACCACAGGGGCATGAGTTGGAGACCTCGGGGACCAGGGTGAAGACTGTCCTGTTTTGAAATCATAGAGCAGTCTTTGCACAGTGAAAAGGCCAGGCCAGGCCAGCCATTCTGCTCCCTCAGCCTGCCACAGGTACATACTGCTCTCCTGTGGGATCTGAGGACCCCTCGCCCCGTGTCCCCTTTGGCCAGTCTGTCCCTTCTAGCAGTGACAGGGATGCTCAGCCCCCACAAGACAGTGTCCATGCCTTTGGCCCTGCCAGGGGACATCTTGGGAGCCAGTTGGCTTGTCCACAAAGCAGATGGACTCTGTTGGCTCTGCCCACCTCTGGACAGTCCAGGCCCCCAGTGTGGCCACCCAGCTGCAGGTCAGAGGGCTTTGCCACAAACACATGCACCAGTGCAGAGTGGCCTCGGTAGGAAGTACCCTCCCTGGACAATGAGCTCACTGGCTGCCACTGCCCATGCCAAGAGGCTGGATACTGGACCCCACATACAGACCAGAGACCGAGCCTAGAGTGGACGGAGCCAGAGGGCCTCATGGAAGCCAGGGCAGAGGGGCCTCAAGGGGCAGGCCTGGCGTCCTCAGTCACAGCCAGGGAGGGTGGGCTGGTCTCACAGGGATAAACCCCACCTGCCTGCCTCGGGCTGGGAGCCTGATGAGATAAGCACCAAGCTTTGAACTTCAGTGGGAAGGCAAATGAGAGTTTAAAGAGGTGGCCAGCTCAGCTGATTTCATTGTGCTGAGGCAGGTCGCCCAGGCGGGGGCCTCTGTGGCCTGGCTTGGACAGCCCCCTTCATGAGCCTCCAGTCTACGCTGGAGCTCCCCATGACCCCAGGCAATGACCGCAGGGTTAGCAGTGCAGCACTTGATGCACTGAGCCACCGCAGCTCGTCCGGGGAGCTGTTGTTCTGGATCTCGAGGCCCGGTGGACCCTCCACTGGCTTTCAGAGCCAGAGAATCCAACAGCAGGGAGCTGCCCCTTGTTCTCCTCCGGAGCAGCTGGTGAACACGAACCGCCTGCCTTGGGGTTGGCAGTGCACCGGCGGGGTGGTCAGAGAGGCCAAGTGTGGGGGTGTTCCGTGGAGACCGGAGGAGGCACCCGCACCAGGCCTCCCTCCCCCACTGACGGGCCCGCGTCCAGCCCCAGAGGGCTAAGGGCTGACTCCACCTGGTCCCCTCCACAGCCCCGCCCCCCGCCCGGCACCGCCAGTTGCGGGTCCCCACAGTCTGCGCGGGTCCTCAGAGCCTCGCTTCCGAAGGCAAGGGCAGGCCCGGGCCCCCCCGCCACGCTAGAGCCGGGGATGGGGACGCGATGGCCGCCCCTCCGGGGTACCCCGTGTCCCCTCCCTCCTGGGCGGGGCGGCGCGTGCGCTGCGGGCGGTGACCGCGTGGGGCGCTGCGGGGGCCGCGTTAAAGCCCT